TTCCCACTAAATGCCCACCTTAAAAAGGTTAATTGCGTCAATCAATGTTACAGAAAGCTCTAGGCGGGCTACGCGCCTGACCCGGCACCTAGAGCATAGGCGGGGCCTAGGCATTTTTTTTAAATTGCAATCAATATTGTCAAAAGTGCTAGGCATCGCTACGTGCCAAACTGCACCAAGTGCCTAGGCACTAGGTCTAGGAGGATTTATTTTTTTGTTTAAGTGGTGATACAAAAAGTTTTGTTAAAGGTTGGAGGAGGTGCTCATAGTTGGTGGAGGAGGCCAGAGGAGTTCGGAGGAGGTTAGAGGATGTGAAGGCAGTCACGACTAAGGCCTAGCAGTGCAGTTCGCATAAGCGGTCCTAGAGCCGCTAGGCGCTCTCAAGACGCAGAGCCCAGGGAGCTACATCACCTAGGCCTAGGTGGAAGCTTTTTAAAACATTGGCATCGATTACACATTCTAGGAGCTAGTAGGAGTATAGAACATAAAGTGCAACAACATGGATGTGAAAAACGATTTGACTCAGGCTTAATGACATTTTTTGAATAACAGAATTAAAAAGAGCATGACTGGTTGAAGTTTCATTATTAGTTAATTTTTGTAGACCAAGAAACTAAAATTCTATAAACTGGGAATTGAGAATAAAGAGGGAGTATCGAAGTTGACAAATGCATTTAGGGTACTAGATGGAATCATGAAACGTTTTTTTTTTGCCAACTTAATATGCTTCATCTTTTCCGTTAAAAATATTAAACCAGCTATTTTTAGTTCTACCTAGAGGAGAATGTTTTACACACTTAATCTCGACTTTTCTTGGTTCTTTCCTATTCAGAATCTGAGGGCTCCAGCTGCTATTCCTGAAACTCCTATTTCACCGGAAATTCTTGAATTCGTTCCCAGCCTCTGTTCTGGTAGCTTCAGTGACATCGGGATGAGGAGGGATATGGAAGATGAGCATATCTGTATTGATGATCTTTTTCTATTCGTCAAGTCTCAGTGTAGGTGTTGCATACCTTCTTCTTTTATGGGGTAAGTTCTTGCTGTTGTTAAAGAATTACAAAATTGCTAATTATCCAGTTGCTGCGTATTGCACTTAGCCGTTTCTGATATTTTTTAATCTTTGCAGGTATTTGATGGCCATAGTTGTTCTGATGCAGCATCATACATCAGGAGGCATGCCCTCAGGTTTTTCTTTGAAGAATCCATACTCCCTCAAGCATCCAAATTTGACCGTATATTCCTACGTGAGATCAAAAACTCTATTCGGAGATCATTTCTGCAAGTAGACCTTGCTCTGGCTGATGAATGCACAGTGATCAGCTCCTGTGGGAGTACGGCACCTATTGCATTGGTGCTCGGAAGGTACTTCATTCCATAGCAATCTTCTTCCATCATTCTTATTGTCCTAGTGGTTTCCTATATGTAGCTGATTCTCAGTTTGATTGAAATATTATGTCAGTGAACCTTTTGCACTTTTTCCAAACAATTGGTTTGATGGTCTTGATTTATTTCAGCATGTTTGTAAACCGAATGGTACTGAATTTATTCCAGGAAATAAAGGATATCTTGAGAATTGTTGAATCTGGTCATGATTGTGATTTGATTTACGTGGTAGTGTTCTTAGCTTGATTATGCATCATTAAGGATGTCAAACTATGAGTATATTGATTTGATTTACGTGGTAGTGTTCTTAGCTTGATTATGCATCATTAAGGATGTCAAACTATGAGTATATGTAGTTCCTTTCTTTGTTTTTGAATTTTTGTTTTCATAATTTGAGAAGGTAGATAAACACTTCAGATCCTGAATATTCCAGTATATACGATAGCATGTGCAAGCCCGTGTGCAAATCAAACTCCTATCACAATCCTAATAATACAATCCATTACCGTTTCTCTGATCTTGTTTCTTTCTTAACAATCAGGGTTCTCTTGGTAGCCAATGTTGGTGACTGCAGAGCGGTCCTCTGCCCTTGTTTCTTTCTTAACAATCAGGGTTCTCTTGGTAGCCAATGTTGGTGACTGCAGAGCGGTCCTCTGCCATGGAGGTAAAGTCATCAACATGTCTCATGACCACCGTGGCTCAGTCCATGCTGCAGAGCGTCTGAGGGTCGAGAAACCTGGCGGCTACATTGATGATTGGTACCTAAATGGAGTCCAATCTGTCACTCGAGCTCTAGGCAATTGGGACATGAAGATCCCAACCTCAGCTACCGGTTTGCCCTCTCCACTCATCACGGAGCCTGAGTTCAGGCAAGCTCTCATCACAGAGGACGACGAATTCTTGATCATTGGATGCGATGGTATTTGTGACGTTATGTCGGGCCAGCACGTGGTAAATGTGGTCCGGCGGGGTCTGCGACCCCCGAAAGGTGTGCGAGGGAGCTTGTCATGGAGGCATTGAGGTTGAAAACCATCAATAGTCTTACTGTGATTGTGGTGTGCTTCTTGGCAGAGCAGAGGGAGGAGGAGGCCGAGGTTGAGGTGTTGTAGTTTGTCTGGAATTGGTTGGATAATGATGTTGGTAACTAGTGAGGAGTAATGTATATTTGCTTTTTGTAATGGGTGCCTTCAGTCTTCTGTATGAGCTGGAGATCAGTCAACAGTTTTGTAGGGTTGCCTTTTCTGTTTGGGGCTTTACTCGTACTGTATGTATTATTTGTCGAGGATGATTGATGAGCGCGTGTTATTATGCAACGAGATCTTGGTTCCTTTTCACTTTCTACCCCTCGCTGGAAGCTTATTATATATCATCAGATTTCCCACAAACGAATGTCATCTGAAGCTGCTGATCTCATCTCCAGGCTTCTTCAGTACTTATCTCAATCTTCGCTGCATTGTATTGAGTAAATATTTTCACATCCTTCTGCTTTCCTAATTTAGTAATATGCCTCCTTGGTTAATTTTTCTATGCAGCTAGAGGCTTCAACTGCAACCTCATGGTAAATTTCATCTACATCTAGTCATTAACCTACAAGCCTCCAAGAACAATATAAATATTTATTTCTGACCAAATTTGCTGGTTATGAGCAGAGTTAAAAGGGAGTTCCCATGGATGTTTCGATGAAGTTGATCTCAGAGCATACGAAAAAGAAAGGCTCTTCTAGTTCTATCATCAAAGATGAACTTTAGCGGAATACTCCCTGGGTATCGTGCCCATGAAAAATGACTGGATCCTGGTGAGTTTATTATGCATGTATTATTTCAAGCAACTTCCTTTCCCCCTTGTTTTCTTCTGTTGTTGCTTTTGTATTACCATCTGGCGTTCTGCGGTATGTAAAGTGAACTTAAAAGAAGGTTCTTCCAGACTCTTTCTGAACCTTATTGTTCTTAATGTTAACTTGTGACTTCATCCATCAATGGATCTTTAAGGATGATAGCTGTAGATTTTTCTTGGGATTTATAGTGTTTGTAAAAAGGAATAGGAAATTTGGAATGGGGTTTACATATTAATCGACGGTATATTACTCCAGCACTTGGAGGGATGTTGTGCACAATGCCATGCCTATTAAATTACAAAGATTCTCATCATTTTTAAGGAATAATGCAAAAGAAGTGGTCATCTTTCATTAAACAAGTAGTGATCGTCGTGGTTACTTTTAGAAGTCGTGGGAAGTAAAGGGTTCATAGAACTTTCAAAGACTGAAGTAAATGAGCACATATGATTAGTGGAATTAAATTACACAATAAAGTAAGTAGATTTCACCATCATTCTTAGTACACGCTCTTTACAAAGTAAAGTTTCGCTGAAGATTTAGAAGTTTCAAGTTTTATGTTATTTCTGTGCATGTGCATGTGCATGTCCATGTCCATGTGTATGTGCATATGTTGGAAGAATTAGTGGAGCTTATGATGCTGCATCATGGAAACATAACTTCACCAAAATAAAATTACTGAAGCCGCAGATTCGTAAATTCAATAACATTTCATCCTCAAGGGTGTTTAACCAGGTCTAAGTTAGGTTGGGTGCAGAGATTAAATGATTCAATCCAGCTTAGCGATGTGTTACGCAATTATTTTCTTCTAGTAACTTCACATAATTTGGACTAACATTTCTTAATCAGGCTTATTAAGAAATCTTGATCCTTTGTCAAACATACCAGATCTTTTACATCATGAAAGTTTAGGTGCTATCGCAGTAGCAACACGTGAGGTCACTAATCCCAATCTACAGGTGTGATGATTTCGTGACCTGGTTTTTGCGGACACTAAGAAATTATTGCTAGACTTTATATTATAATTAATGTGGAGACTGCGGAATTTTGATGTTAGACAAATCACTGATATGAATACATCCGAGAAGATTAGGAATTTTGATGTTCGGACAAATCGGTGATATGAATATATCTGAGGATAAAAACCTTTAGTTCTAATACGTAGCTCAAGAATGTGGATGGATGGATCTCATCAATCTTATATTAATTGATAATTAAAATGCATTTTTACTAATTACAGTGCTCCCAATCCCTACCACAAAAGGCATATCACACCACAAATAACATGCAACCAATACTGCATCCAATTGGTGAACCCAAACCCTAACGCAAGCTCTGTTGCGCGCAGCGGAAATTTCGGCAGCACTTCGGCAGCACAACAAGAGAGTCAGGTCGCAATAAGAATTCTTGTTTCTCAAAGGGAACAAGAATCTGAAGCCTATATCCTATCAAAGTAGGATATTAGCTCTTCCTCTCGTCAGCTCTAGGACTGCGCGTCGAGGGACCCTAAAAGCTATTACAAATCACACAAAAGCAGTACAACCAATTTTTACGTGGTTCGGCAAATTGCCTACGTCCACGGGGCAAGGAGGGGGGAGATCTACTAATAGAGGGAGAGAATACAACTAGGGTTTACAATCACTCTCAATCTAAACCCTCAAACAAACTCTCAAATCCCTCACAAATATCTCTCACAAAAGGATGCACAAAACCCAAAAAAAAAACTGATTTTTCTCTTGAGTTTTCTCCTGCTGCAGTTTCCTCCTGCAGCCGCAAAAGCACCCAGCCGCAAACAATTCCTCTCTGCCTCCTGCTTTGCTGCAGCCGCCTAAAACACCCAAAACCCTTTTTCACGAAGCCTTGCTCAATCAAACTTCACGAAACCCTAGGCACATTTATAGGTCTCAATAAAACGAAATCGGGTGGGCCGGCCTTCAACTCTTCATGCGGACATCCTCCTGCTATCCGACTTCAATTCTTCACGCGGAAATCAATAGCATGCACGTGGGTGGGGGCCACGTCCACTCACAATTCTCCACCTCGGTGAAGTTTTCCCAAAACTGAGCCGACACCAAAGCAATCAAATGTCTCACTTGTTGTGTCTAGTACGAACTCAATCCACAACATGTCGAGAACCCGAACGAGAGTCCAAATAATCTCACCCCCATCAAAATCAACTAATCCAAACCGGCTGCATCTGAAAGACTGCCTACGTATCCTCTTGCCCAAGGAATCAAGCCGAACGTAGTTCACCCAAATGGCCGCCAACGGCCTCAACAATCACGAATGTGCAACAAGTTTCGACAATGATCAAACTTGTTGCTCGGAACCACCTTAGTGAGCATATCCGCCGGATTATCCTTCGTGTGGACTTTCACAATCTCCACATCGCCATCTTCAAGAACATCCCGAACGAAGTGATAACGAACGTCAATGTGCTTCGTCCGCGCATGAAAAACCTGATTCTTCGCCAAATAGATAGCACTCATGCTATCACAATGAATAGTGACGGACCTCTGCGATATACCAAGTTCTTCCAAAAGTCCTCGAAGCCAAATAGCCTCACTTGTACATATTCTGATATTGAAATCTGCATATGAAAGTTAGTGCACACAAAATATAAATTGTTATCATCAAAACATTATCATGGAGAAATGATATTCAACAATACTTACCGCCTGTGACAAATCTGGCCTCGTACATACCATCGCGTACATCAAGCTCCCAACCGCGCTCGCATATGGAGTCTTCGACATCAACTCACGATCTTCAACTGACTTCGGTGAGAGACCAGCTGAAAGCTTCAAATGGGCTCCCAATGGTACACTAACTGGCTTCGTATCCATGCTAACATGGAATCGCTGTAGAACTTTCTTCAAATAAGCCACCTGTGTCAAACAAATTCTGCCATTTTTCTTGTCTCTGCCGATCTCCATCCCTAAAATGCGCTTCGCCTCGCCCAATTCCTTCATCTCAAACTCATTTGAAAGCTGAACTTTCAACTCATCTATAGCCGACCTGGAAATAGAGGCAACCAACATGTCATCGACATAGAGCAACAAATAAATATACGCACCTCCTTTCAACTTGCGAAAATATACGCAAGGATCAAACTGGCTCCGAGTGTACGAATGACCAAGCATAAAACCATCGAATCGCCTATACCACTGTCGAGGAGACTGCTTCAAACCGTATAGCGATTTCTTCAGTTTGCAAACTAATTTTTCTTTCCCTGCAGCTCGGAATCCCAATGGCTGAGTCATATATATTTCTTCATCAAGATCACCATGAAGAAATGCCGTTTTCACATCCAACTGATCTAATTCCAAACCATACTGTGCCACCAAAGCTAGCAAAATCCGAATCGAAGAATGCTTCACCACCGGAGAGAAAACCTCATTATAGTCAATACCTTCCTCCTGTGCATAGCCCTTCGCAACCAACCTAGCCTTGAATCTCAACGGAGTGCCTTCAATGCCCTCCTTCTTCGTGTATACCCACTTGCAACCAATTGCTTTCCGCCCCTTTGGAAGCTCAACAAGCTCCCATGTATCGTTCTTATGAAGAGATTCCATCTCCTCCTGCATAGCCACCTGCCACGAATCAGCCTCCGAACTCTGCTCGGCCTCTCTGAATGTAGTAGGCACTAACTCATCGATACTCTCCACCGGAAGTGCATACGCAACTGTGTCGGCATACCGTGCTGGCATCTGTATGTTTCTCCTCTGTCTCCTAGCCGCAATAGAATCCTGAACCTGAGCCGTCGGTTCCTGATCCTGCACATTTGTACTCGTATCCTCCGTGTCATCGTCGTGCTCGCCTGGCGTCACCTCAGTCGGCACCTGCATGGATACTGTACCATCTGGACAATGTGGAGCTGCATCGATCTCCACCACCTGCGATATCTCCTCCGTCGGGTCGCTCTCCACCTGATGAGAGCTGGGAAGCTTCAAGATAGAAGCCTCATCAAATGTGACGTCCCTACTCAGAACAATCTTTTTATCAACTGGATCCCAAAGCTTGTATCCCTTGACACCACGCTTGAATCCTACAAATATGGCCTTCCTAGCTCGAGGTTCCAATTTATCAGTTCTAACATGATAATATGCAGGGCACCCGAATACCTTGAGCTGGTCATAGTCATGTGCTGGCTTTCCCGACCACATCTCCATAGGGGTTTTCCCCTCAATCGCAGATGAAGGCAGCCTATTAATGAGGTGGCTCGCATATGTAAGTGCCTCAGCCCAAAAGATCTTCTCCAAACCACTCTGCGACAATAAGCATCGGATCTTCTCCAGTAAAGACCGATTCAACCTCTCTGCCACCCCATTTTGCTGCGGTGTATGACTAACTGTGAAGTGTCTCTCTATGCCCTCGTCTCGACATAGCTGCTGAAAGGGGTCAGAAGTATACTCACCACCGTTGTCGGATCGCAACGTCTTGATCTTTCTCCCAGTCTGCAGTTCCAATCTCTTCTTCCACTCCACAAACAAATCTAGGACTTCACTCTTCTTCGTCATGGTGTACACCCAACAACGCCTAGAATAGTCATCTACAAAAGTGACGAACCAATGTCGACCACCAAGTGATGCAGTCTTGGTGGGACCCCAAACGTCTGTGTGCACGTAATCCAGGATGCCCCTCGTCTGATGAATGGCAGTCCCGAACTTCACCTTCGTCTTCTTGCCAAGAACACAGTGCTCACAGAACTCAATCTTCCCACTCTTGGCTCCCTTCAATAGCCCCTGCTTGCACAATGTCTGCAGTGACTTTTCACCTGTGTGCCCCAATCTATAGTGCCAAAGTCTGCTCATGTCCGCTTCTGAAATAGCCGAAGCAACCTGGCCAATCTCGGTGCTTCCCTTCAGATAATACAAATTCCGATTGCGGACTCCCCTCATCACCACCAATGATCCCTTAGTAACCTTCGCTACAGCGTTTTCGAAAGTCACCTTGAATCCCTTCGCCTCCAAAGCTCCAACTGAGATAAGATTTTTCTTCAGTTGAGGAACAAATCTCACCTCCTTCAACTCACGGACTACTCCATCGTGCATCCTAATCCGCACGGTACCTATCCCACAAACGCCACAGGATTGATCATTTCCCATGACAACAACGCCCCCGTCGACTTTCTCAAAAGATGCAAACCAGTCTCGCCTAGGGGTCACATGAAAGGTAGCGCCGGAATCAAGCATCCAATCTGATGCATCCACATGGTTCACCTCCGGAGTAATCAGTAGAGAAAAGCACGAATCATCGGAATCATCGCCTTTCGCAATGTTCACCTCATTGGCCTTCGGGCCCTTTTTCTTGCCATTCTCTTTCTCCTTGAGCTTCGGGCAGTCTCTCTTCCAATGTCCCTGCTCCTTGCAGAATGCACATTGGTTCTTTGTTAGTTGGTGACGGCCTCTAGACTTTGACCTCCCTCTGTTACCACCTTTCGGATATGGGCTTCTACCTCTTGTCGACAAGGCCTCTCCTGAAGTACTAGCGCGGGAAGTCTCCTTATCCTTCCTCCTCAAATCGTAGTTCGTCAAAGCGTTAGTCACTTCACTATAGCTGATAGAAGATCTCCCGTTCAACAAAGTGAGCACGAAGGTATCATACTCCTCATCCGGTAAGGAGCCCAACAAAATAATCGCCTTGTACTCATCCGATATCTTCTCATCAACATTCGCCAAGTCCGACAACAACTTCGTATAGTTGTTCACATGAGCCGCAAGCGAGGTGCCTCTGGACATCTGGAATCTGAATAACCTACGCAGCAAGTGCAATCGGTTCTCAACACTCTTCGTAAGGTACTTATTGTTGAGAATTTCCCACATCTTCATTGCAGACGTCACCCCAATCACATCATATTTCAGCTCCTGTTCCAAACAGGACCTGATCACCCCACAAGCGTTCCTATTCATTTTCTCCCATACCGCCTCTTCATATTTAGGTGGCCTCTCGTGGACCATGATGGTCTCTTCCAAATTCTGAGCATTTAACGCATCCTGTACGTCGCTCATCCACAAACCAAAGTTGATTTTTCCGTCATATTTCACCACACTAATTTTGGTGTTTTGAAAACCAACTTGTATTGTACCCGCCATCGATTTGCTGCTTTCACCTTCTTCTCCCATTGCGAACTAACTCCAAATTATAGAGAAAGAACAAATTTGATAGAATTAGGAACCACCCAACTGAACCCTAGATCGGATTCCAAATAGATCTCCTATCCACACGAGGAAAGCGAAATCTCCAACGGCAACTCCTAATGCTATCTCCACCGAAGCCGAGAACTCCAAGAACTAAGCTTCACACAAGAATCTTCCTCCACCAAAAAACCCTAGATCTGAAATCTGGGCTCTGATACCACTTGTTGCGCGCAGCGGAAATTTCGGCAGCACTTCGGCAGCACAACAAGAGAGTCAGGTCGCAATAAGAATTCTTGTTTCTCAAAGGGAACAAGAATCTGAAGCCTATATCCTATCAAAGTAGGATATTAGCTCTTCCTCTCGTCAGCTCTAGGACTGCGCGTCGAGGGACCCTAAAAGCTATTACAAATCACACAAAAGCAGTACAACCAATTTTTACGTGGTTCGGCAAATTGCCTACGTCCACGGGGCAAGGAGGGGGGAGATCTACTAATAGAGGGAGAGAATACAACTAGGGTTTACAATCACTCTCAATCTAAACCCTCAAACAAACTCTCAAGCTCCACAATAGCAACCACTGGAACAAAAACCATACGTGCAGCCATCTGGGCCTGGTGCTTTATCTAATAATATTCTATACTCAAACTTTCAACATCCTATGTTATTGTAGCTCTCTCTAATCGACTGCGGTATCCCATCCTGCAGGCAAGATATCGGCGGTATGGTTAGGGTTTCTTGTATCCCGTAGGCGTTCCAGCAGAAGGGATCATCGACGAGCTCCCCCTCATGGGGTAACAATTCCACCTCCGACATTGTAATATTTGTACAAGGCACACTATCACTGCAAGCAAAGTGTATCGGTGGGCTTCTCACGTCATAAGTCCCCTTTATATTCGAATATGATACATCTGATACGTGCACAGCAGACGTCTGGTTCATGCAATCTTTTGTCATGCAGTAGTACTGATCGATGATGATGCAGTTCCTGACATTTTCGAGGTACACAGTGTTGAAACTTATGCCGAAGACTGATCCCATACCCCCTTGCCATGTTTTGATTCTTAGACCATTGTCAGAATTCCTGATCACCGCATTTCGGACGTTGATGTTTGAGACGCAGGCTTGGGATCCGTGCACGCCTAAACTCCCGATGCTGCGAGGGCCAAACTTTCAGATTATGGTCATAATTTTCTTTTGCTGGTGATCGATTAAGTGTTTTGAGGCAGTAGCAATCGTACCTGATGCCATGACTATGTTCGCAAGTTACATTTTGAATGTCCACATCAGAGCAACCAGGCCCGATCGAGATGCAATCGTCGCCTGTAAAGTTCCAGATTTAAGTTCAGACGTGCAATCTGTGACTAACATGGAGTACTGGCTTTGAACTGTCACAGTTTTTGATAGGCCAGGCCAGTTTTTTGTTTTCACTGCGTAGATGGTTCCAGTTACGAGACAACTAATGTGATCGGTGGGTCACTTGCTCCCCACCCCCAATTTTCATCAAATCATGAAAACACTTTAATTTGGATCCGTGAGGAATATATTATATCTTTGTACAGTCGGTATCTCTGTTTAATTTAATTCATGGTTGGCTTACTGTGTCCTTTAAGGGACCACAAAGTTTTCCTCTATTAAGCATCTATAAATAACTTTTCAGCACGTGTCCTATTCACTTTGATGCAGAAATCTTGTGACCTGCATTATTTAATTACGCTCACCAGAGAGCCTAGGCCTTATTCTTGTGACAAGAAAATGAACAAGACACCAGACAAAGAATGCCACCTAACTGAAACTTGACGTTTTAGATGTTTAACATACAGGATTCAGATAATGGGGATTTGTTGATTAGAGTGATTACCATTGCTTATCATGGAGTTGTAGATGGCAACAGACTTGGTGTTCTCTATGTGGATTCCGTCGGTGTTGGGGCTGAGAGCAGGGGAGTTTATCGATATGTCTTCGATGTGAACCCCATCGCAGCCATCGAACTTGACATGGAACTGAGGGCTGTTCTCTATTGACAGTTCCTTCATCGTGAGGTTTGAGCTCATGAAGAACCTAATCATCTGAAAATGGATTGAAGAAAATGAACAGTCAGAACACGGAGAGTCCGAAACACTACGAAAGCAGAGCAGCTCTGCTCCTCAAAATCAGAGTACTCCGTTTCGACAAAAAAAACAGAGCATTTGTGTGGTTAGAAACTAACCGCAGGGCTGTTGCATGGCCCGGGCGATGTAGTTCCATTTGGGCCCTGAAATGTCATTATACATAATCAGTTTGGGTGATCAATAGTCAAAATTTTAAAAAAAATTATCGATTTAATCGACATATTGTGACTTACTCTGTGAGGTTTACACGGGAGATCCCACCATTTTTCACCATTGCCTTCAATTGTCCCTCCCCCTCTTAACGTCATGCCGTCGACCCTGTAGAACACGAGCCACTGGTTCTTGCTATCAGACTCTGGCCAACAATCAGGACCATCCGGAGGCATCAAAACCCCATCAATCTGCGCAAAAGTTGCAACATTTCAACAACTCCAAAAACAGAGCACATCAAAAACCACAAGAGTTCGAAATGGTTACTTGAAAGACGAAACCAGGCTGGCAAGGGCCGTTGAAGATCGTCGAAGTGATGGTGAAAACCCCATCAGAAGGAACCAACAGAACACTGTTCTCTTGGGAGCATGAAGCCTTCCAAGCATCACGGAAGGCTTTGGTGTCGTCGGTATCTCCATCTCCGATCGCACCATAAGATCTCACGTTGAAGATGCAAGGATCGGAGGTAGCGTTATCGGCATCCCTGCCACCCGCTGACGGAGGCTCAGCAGGGGATGGGAGAGGAGGTTGATATATATGCCTCCCGCTGTCCTTGTGGGAGTTCTTCGGTTTGTGAAAATGGTTCCTTGCGTTGGAGCACCGAAGGCCCGATAAGAGCAATGTCGTTGCTATCAGAACGGATAAAAACCCGTGAAGAATTTTCATCTTATTTTCCAAGAATTATGAGTAGAATGAAGCTAAGATAGCAATTGAGAGTGATTGTGAGAGAAGCAGTTGGAAAAGTTTTTAGTTGGACGCAGAGTACTCTGCTTCGCTAGGGGGGGGAGGGGGTGAAAGCAATGAAAGGCTTTGGAGGGTTATTTATGCTTTTTGGAAGCCACCGATGAGGAGGTTGACATGTGTCAGCTCCTCGGTGACTGAAATATCATTGTCTTCTTGGTGTTCTTTCCCTCTTATCATGAACCTTTAAAACATAAATAAAATCCATGATATTCTAATTTTTCTTTTATGGTCCCCTGTTCTCAGTTTATCCTTACACTGTTATCATCCCTGCAACGCTAATGAATCGTTTGGTGCAGTTTCCATCTTATCTCGATGCCCCCTGCATTATAACACTGCATGAGTCGACGTTTCAGCCTTTGAAAACGCACGTTCGACCCGCGAAGGTATGTTCGGAGTATGATGTAAAATAATACCCTCAATCTTCACCATAACTTCTTGAGTTGTTGTGCGGGGGAAGAGCCATTTGACACGTTGAATTATGATATAAAATAATAGAATAATTCAATAAACTCGTGAACCCAAAGGTATATATAATTTTGAGCTAGTAGATGAATGAATGAAGGGCATCAAACGTTCACATGATGCTTCTAAGATTTTGAGCAGAAGCTTCTAGGGCTTCACAACATTGTTACCAGATTAACCATTTTTGTTTCTGTCCTCCTCCTCTGTTTTGGACCCCACTCAGCTTATGAATGCTGAGGATCAACTAATTCTAATGGCAATAAATTTGAGATGGGGTGATTGTTATACATCACCTTTTGTAATTTAAGTCATGTATACTGTATCTAGCATCAAATAACTGAATCAATGCTCCCTGCTCTCTCTCTCTCTCTCTCTCTCTCTCTCTCTCTCTCTGGAGTTAGTTTGAAATTAAATGCTATGCTGGTATGAGAACAATTGTATCAATTTGAATTAGACAAAGACATCTGTAATTCTCTTAATTAAAGTCCCTTATTAATGAATATAGGAGAGTGTACTACTGACCATTTGTTTTTTCAAAAAATAAATAAACAAAAAAATGTAGAGAACAGAAGGGATCAAGTGTTACACTGATAAAGAGCCCACACCCACCTTTTTTCCTCAGGGGCTGTTTGGTTGTATGTTTTTAGTTTTTACCATATAAAAGGATGGAAAGTGTAAAAAATTGGGTCCTAATGTCAGCTTTCATCACTTTCAATTGTTTGTTTGTAGTTGTGAAAATAGTGTAAAGTGATTTCATATGCTGATATGGCTTGTAAAGTGATTTCATAAAAAAAAGACATGATTTTAGGATAAAGCTGACATTGAAGTCAGGAAAAAATAATAAAAAATAATTCCAACCAATATGATCATTTGAGTAGGGACCACTTTTTACACTTTCCAAACAAACAATTAAAGTTACATTTGCAAACCAAACAAGCAATTTATGATTCTAATGGAATAAAAAACAAACAAAGAAAAGTATAAAAAGTGAAATTGATGAGGTGGACAACAACTTTCCAAGTTGTGTCATAAATACACAACTTTACCAACAACAACCAAACAGCCCCTCGGTGAAGGACGTTTAGGTGGAGCCAACGGAGTCATTCTTACTCTCTCCTTTTCTTTTTGTTTAATTTTATCTTTAAAGTGCCCACACCCAAATCTCGACCTCGTCATTCTCTCCTGATTGTTACGTGTTGAAACCCCTCTACATTGTTTCATTGATAAGAGTTTAACGAAACATCCGCAACCCTAAATAGGACGCCTCCAAGCCTAACAAAAAGTAAGCGAAATGAGAAAGGGGGGGGGGAAATATAGCTGGTCATAGATTTTGAGTAAAACTAGACGGAACAACCTAGACGGAATTATAGATACGAACATGTTGCCTTACTCGTGACATTGATTAATGATGGGGTCAAGTGCAATTAAGTAATTAACAAGGGCCAGGAGAGGCCCGTGAACTTGGGTTGTAGTTTTGCCCCTTGTGGGCCAACAAACGAGCGGGGGACGTGTGCGTCTTGACAAAAGCCCCTCGAGTCACGGGCGGAGCGTCTCCTATTTAATGTGGGCCCCCGGATGAGGGGAGCCGTAGAGAGCAGCTTTACATTAATTCCCCCCCTCACGTGCCCTAACAAACAAAACGGTCAACACAAAGGGAAAGCAGCCCTCGCCAATCTCCTTTGAAAACGCCTAATAACGCACAAAAAAACGTCTTCGCATAAATATCGATCCATGCAGTGTTAGTAGCTAGGGTGTCAGCATCTTTGGTACGCTGTTTTTTTTTCCTCCTCCTCCTCCTCCTCCTCGAAAATTCTCCCCGTACAACCCGTCGGCCGCTCGCTCGGGGTCTATCTGATCGGATAGATTCAGTATTATTGTTGTTAGGCTTAGCGTTGGTCAGAAAAAACTCGACAGCGATTACGGATCGTTACGATAGTATTGCGTTTTACTAGATTTGTCGCGCATCTGTGAACGTGGGCCACCGCCACGTGAATGAGGTCCGTTTCCGCCAGCGAACGCGGTTTCGTTTCGCGTACCCGAAGACCCATAATTGAGCTTTATAAATATGAGGGTGTGTTTAGCCTAGGGTTGGGTGCAAGGATTTGTTTCGTGGAGATTTTTTTTTTGGCGGCTGCGGCAGAGAGCAAACAGTGCAAAGCAGATTTGGTTTTCTTCTTTTTGTGGCTGCAGTTGAGGAGATTTTGTGTAGTCTCTTTTAGGGGTTTGTGCATCCCTTTGAGAGAGCTTTGTGAGGGATTTGAGAGTGTTGTGTGAGGGTTTTATTTGTGAGATTCTTGTGTAAACCCTAGTTGTATTCTCTCCCTCTAATAGTAGATCTCCCCCCTCCTTGCCCCGTGGACGTAGGCAATTTGCCGAACCAAGTAAAATTGGTTGTACTGCTATTTGTGTAATTTGTTATAGCTTTTAGGTTCCCTCGACGCGCAGTCCTAGAGCTGACGAGAGGAAGAGCTAATATCCCACTTTGATGAGATATTAGGCTTCAAATTCTTGTTCCCTTTGAGAAACAAGAATTCTTATTGCGACCTAACTCTCTTGTTGTGCTGCCGAAGTGCTGCCGAAATTTCCGCTGCGCACAACAGCATCGACATGCGAAGGGGAAATTCCAATTTGATTTTACAAAAGAAGCTTCATGTATATATATGTGAAAATTGTTGCGCCTCGAGAAACCAAAACAATCGCCGAGAAAGATAAACAACCAACCAAAATCAACAGCACAAACAACCAAACACCAGTTTTACGTGGTTCGGTAAGATGCCTACATCCACGAGGCAAGGAGGGGGGAGTTTTCACTATTAGAAATCAAGAGGAACAAACTAGGGTTACAAATCTCTCATAAACCCTCAACAATCAACTCTCAATCTCTCCAATTGCTCCTAGAATAGAAGCCCAAAGAAAACTCTCTCAATCTGCTCAAATTCGTCCTTGCTCTTAACCCTAAAAAACACCGCCCAGAAACTCCTGTGCACGAACGCGGGCGACCGGGCCGGTCGACCGCCACCCTGACAACATGAATCCTGAGCTCATCTCTTCAAATCTCCACCTCGGCGAAGATTCTACCAAAACTGAGCCGACACCGATCAAACCAATACCTCAACTGTTGCACCTAGTATGTCATGGCAACGGACTCATGACAACGGACTCCAATCACAACACGTCGAGATCCAAACGGGAGTACGAACTCTCAACCCCAAACCAACTGTGTCTACTCACCAAACAACTGAGCCTACACCGACTACACCAAATGCCTCACTTGCTGAGACCCAAATGGGAGTGCGAACACTCTCCCCAAATGTCGATGTCGCTCACCAAATCGGCTGCATCATAAAGACTGCCTACGTATCCTCTTGCCCAAGGAATCAAGCCTTCACGTAGTTCACCCTATGGGCCTCCAAAGGCCCTCAATCCAATTTGCGGCTGATAGCATCATCAACGACCCCAAACTGAAACGATCCAAACACCTCCACCTGAGATGTAACAATGGCCGTATCCAAAACATATCCATCAGCTGCATCCAAATCAACTACCTCATCATCTGCACCCATAAATAAATAACTCCCACACTGTGCCACCTCAGCTGGAATCCCAACCAATGCAGAATGACCTGGAGTATGTGAGGAAATCCTCACCCAATGTGGAGTAGCATCAACCTCCACCCGCTGCGATATCCCTCTGACCTGATCAATACTCTCCACCTGCCGAGAGTCCAAAGTGACAAACCTGCTCAGACCAAACTCAGAAGCTCCCAACTGATAGCCAAAAGAACTCCTGAATCCCAACTGTGTAATCGGATCCAACCTCACATCAACGATGTGACCAAGTGCTGGGTAGCCAAATATCTGACGCCGGCCAAAATCTGAAACAGCTCCACCAGATCTAACAACTCTATACACAGCAGTCGGCAACCTCATAAGATGACCCAAACATGTCGAAGCCTGAATACCAGATCCACTGCTCGACAACCAATACCGATCCTCCTCCAGAAAAGAACGGCCCACTAAATCCGCCATCTCATCACGTCGCCCCACTGTCTCCTTCCCTCTGAAGTGTCTCCAACTGCCGTGAGCTCGGCACCAATGCAAGAAAGGACTCCTACTAGAATAAGTACGACTGGTAACCTTTCTGCCCATACACCTCCTCCAACTGTTGCGGACTACTAGGTCTTTATACCAACGGGACTTGGTTGCAACCCAAATATGCCTAGTACAATCCCCAACATAGGAAACAAAATAACGATTACCTCCCGATGATGCCTCCTCGGAAAGCCCCCAAATGCCTGACTGAACACCTCCAATAAGACCTCTCGATAGAAGTGATGAACTCCACCTCGGTCTTCTATCTCATCCTAATGTGCTCACATGACTTCAATCTGCAGGTCATAGCACTCCTCAACAATCTGTGCACGGTATAACCAACAATATATCCCAGCACCAAACAATGCCACAGTCTAGCCATAGAAGTAGTCAGCGCCCTATCAACTACCATGCTCCCAAGTAGATAATACAAGTGACTCCGCCTGACTCCCTTCATCACAATTATGGACCCCGATGTGACCTTCAAGCGAGAATCCGCCAAGATCACCCTAT